GTGCTGGTGCTTGTGGTGCTGTTGATGATGGCTGTTCTTCGGATGGTTTTTTGTGTAGTTCTGGTCGGGTTGAAACATCACCAGAGCTGGACTGCCCCTTCCCTGGTGTTGCATCTGAAGTTTCTGCTGGTTTTTCATTTTTTCTCGTTGTTACTGGTGCTGGTGGCCCTTCTCCTACTTGCGGCGATGTTAATTTTGGTGTTTCTTCTTCTTTGGTTTTGCTTTCTAATTTCTCTTTTTGTACTGTTTCCACTTCTTCCTCCTCTTCTTCTTCTGTTCCGAGTGGGCTTTCAGGTGGTGAAATGACCACAACACTTTGCTCGTTGGTGCTGTTTCCTGTTTGTGCCCCCAAAGAATGATCCTCCTCGGGACCTCCCTTGCCAGCAGCAGGAGAAGCCGCAGCAACATCGGGTGCTGACGCCATCGCAGCAGCACCGCACCGCAGCACGCAGAGGGCACACACCAGCAGCACACGGCCAGTCATCATCGCCATCACTCCTGTCACTCGCGTGCAGCCTTCAGCACAAACTAACAACACGTCAACGCAGAGTGAAATGAAAAGGAGAGACGAGTCACACAGTGACACGCACCGTCCCATCCAGCAATGAGAGTCACGCAAAAACAACAACAATTGGGTGGACGCGGCTCAACAACAATCAAAACAACAACAAAAAGAGGAGCGCTTCTCGCCGTGCACCGTTCCTCGCACTCCCACAATGTCACTATTACTGTTATTCCCTCTCCTCAGACCCTCACAGGCACGCCACGCTCACTTCAACACGCGCCCCTCCAGCACAGGCCTCGGAATCGTCGGGCCCTCCCACCAAACGCAGCCGTCATGCGCTCCCGCCGCGCCGCAACGTACGCCACCTCCTCCCTCAGTCCAGCAGCTCCGTGTCCGCCACTTCACACACGATCGCCGGAATGCCACGGCCGCACAACACGCACAAGGGCACATGCAATGTCGTGCCGCCATCCACGTCGCACCGCAAGATATTGCCATGCGCACAGCACAAACACGGCGGCAACAAGAGGAACGGGATGCATACAAGAACATACCGCAGCCCTTTACTTCTCTCTTCCCCAGCGGATTGGCGTCCCACACGCACAGTGAGGCACGGCGCACACCATCCGCTCCCCTCCGAGCGCACTCAGCAGACCGACGCTCAGTCACCCACGTGCCATCGCAACGGGGAGCACAAAAAATCGTCGTCGCGGAACATCGGTGCCTCTAGCAGGGAATAAAGAGAAA